TATTGACTCCAAGATGAACATGGGCTGACAATGTGAGGCCACAGTCAGTAGGGCTAACCGTACCTTGTGCATCCACAGATGCATCTCAAGCAGGGCCAAGGAGGTGATCCTCCCCCTCTATGCGACACTGGTCAGGCCGCAGCTGGAGTACTGTGTTCAGTTCTGGGCGCTGCATTTCAGGAGGGATGTGGACAGCATTGAGAGGGTCCAGAGAAGGGCCACCTGCATGATCCAGGGACAGCAGGGCAGACCCTATGAAGAAAGGCTACAGGGCCTTAACCTGTTCAGCCTTCACAAGAGAAGGCTGAGGGGGGACCTGGTGGCCATCTATATAAACTCACTAGGGGGGGACGAGCAGGGTTTGGGAGAAACCCTGTTCCCCCTAGCGGCCCCCGGCTAACAAGGAATAAAGGCCACAAATTGTTAGAGAATAGGTTTAGATTAGACATCCGTAAGAACTACTTCACAGTTAGGGTGACTAGGATCTGGAACCAACTTCCAAGGGAAGTGGTGATGACTCCTACCCTGGGGGTCTTTAAGAGGAGGCTTGACGTCTACCTGGCTGGGGTCATTCGAGCCTGGTTCTCTCCTGCCCAGGGCAGGAGGTCGGACTTGATGATCTACAAGGTCCCTTCCGACCCTACTTCTATGAATCTACTACTATAAACCAGACTATCACCACTTAATCCATATGTGGCAGAACACCATCTTTGTTTCTCCCCAAACTCTGCTATCAGGCAGGTGACCAATCTAACAATTTGGTTACCATGGTCACTGCAGAGGGCAGACACCATTGGCTTCAGGTAACCCTGAGTTGTAACCAGAGCTGGATACATTCCTAAGGGAGGGGGAAACCTGCTTCCTCTGTGTGACTGACCTCACACACCCAGGTGGGAGATTAAACTCCCTATTGTTCTAAGCAATGTCATCATGACTGGGAGAAGGCTAGAGACCCTGCTAGTCTACCCAGCAACCAGCGATGCATTTCAAATTGGGTGGCTGGCAGCCAACAGCCGTTTGCCTTCCTTATAAGTTAAGGACTGCCCAAGAGACAGGGCAGCAGCCATGATGAGAACTCTCAGAGAAGCTGGACCATCTGAAACTTGCTCTCTCTTGAAACTCATGTTCAGTTAACTGCTTGCCTCCAGAGGGAATCTCCACCTGCCTCTGGATGATACTTGTGAGGAAGCTACTTGAGATCTAACTAGATGCATATCTTGCAGCAACTCAGATGCGTGATCAAAGGCTACCATGCCACTGTTTGCTCTAAGGTATTTCTCTGATATTGCTCTACCCTATTACAAATCTACCTCTTGTAACCAATAAAGTTCTCCTTTGTACCTAGCATGGGAGACTTATTGAGAGAGGGTCTAGATTATGCCTTTGGGTCCCCTTGGTTCAGCTGACTAAGGGAGACCACTATTAGTGCTTCAGACTGAGGGAAGCACCCCAAGTTCTTGCACTGGGTCAAGTACCCCTCAAGGACTACTAGGCCTGTGTTTCCCAGAGGGTACAGGGCCAAAATCAATCCAGACCCTAGGGGGTGCCAGTATTACCCCCAGGTTTAAAGGTGTGCTCCAGGAAGGGGGGGGGGGGGGGGGGGCCCGGGAGGGGGGGCCCCC